AAGAAGGAGAGAAAGGTGAATTACCTGAAAACCTTAATGCCCCTAAGCAAAGAGTAAGGGTCAAGACTCCTACACTTTGTCAACAACATAACGTCATAAACAGCTGGCTATCGTGCAAAAATAAAGAGGTATCAGCGAGCCGGTTTCCTTGCGGATTTCACTACCCCGCGTCATAATCAGCCATTACCCCGCAGATAACACGAAACAGTTTAAACGGGTAGTCCGAGTAGGATACTACAGCAGACGCGCCACTGGTGTCGACTGCGAGCCATGTCCGGTAAACTCACAAGGCAAGCGCACATGGCGGTTCACGCGGACAGGAAGGTGAACTGGACCGACGGCACAGAGTTTGGTCGTCAGTGATTGCACTTTCCGCTGCCAAGTTCACTTACGTGCATCCCGAGCCTTGTGTCAGGTTACATGCGGCAGACAAAACAAGACTGTCCTCGGTAAGCGTTGATCAGGCAAACGTAATATGTGTCCAAGTCAATGCAACTTGTTCAGCGCTATCTGTTGTTCTGGGGAACTAGCTTGGTTATCACTACCTAGTATTCGCCTAAGCAAACCATCGTCGCGGACACGTTAGTGCAGTCTGACATCTGCAATGCTTCGCAGACAACGATAATCAGATTTGAAAGAGCCTCAGATTCTCAGATCGAAGGGGCCAAGTCTCACTACTAGAGATTAGGACAGCCTTCAGTGTGGTCTTGTAAACACTGCCTTTTAGACAGAGGGGAACACATCATCATCATCATCATTATACATGTCAGCTAGAGATGGGAACACACTATGACCCCAAAGATGTCGCAGATTCAAAAAGGCAGTTCTGGTTTTTGCAATGCGTGAAATGACTTCAGTGCTTATACGCTCATCGTTGCTGATGCAGCTGCCTAGGTAAGTGAATTGATCAACTACCACGAGTTCTTTGACATCAAGTGACTAGTGGTCCTGCAGCAACACTGCACTTTGAAGGTGCGAAGCGCATACCAAGCAATGGGATCCTGTAACGAGGCCATTCAGTGTTGATTGCGACGTCCCGATATCGTTAAATAGCAAAACGTTATCGTCCGCATAATCAAGATCAACAGGCAGCAAAACGTCTGCATCGCGATACTCCGCAAGGGAACACTCCATGATGGGTCTACGATGAAATTGGGCAAAAATGGAGAACTAGAAAACCCCGATGAATGCCACTTGTTGACGGAAAACTATCCGACAAGTTACGTAAAGCGTTTGAGTATAGAGCACATAAAATGCTGACATATTTCATGGGAACAGCTTTCCGTAGTATTTCGAACAAAAAGCATCGATTGTCTGAACCGAAAGCACTCTTGAGATCGAGGAACACAGCTATTGTCGGTCTGCGGTACGCGTGGCACTGCGCTAGCATCTGCTGTAGAATGAATGTATGGTCTATACAGTCTCGTTCTGGGCGGGAAGCCGCCTCTTCCCTAATCCAAAATTACAGATCCACAGTGAGGTGACGAACGAAAATCGAGGCCAGTGATATTTTCACAACTAGCATTAGGTTAATATCCCTTTGCTTAGCTTAGTCAGTGCGACTACCCTTCTTATATATTGCCACTATAATCGATTCGCTTCAGTTAGCCAAGACGGTCTCTTACTTCTAGACATGTTGGAATAGGGAGGTGTGGCTTGCGGTGGACCTCACCATCGTCCTTAAGTAGTGCAGGTGGGAGGGAATCCGGGTCAGCAGCACGAATACGATTGAGGGCTGTGATCGCATTTCAGACCTCAGCCACCGATTGAGCTAACTAACTAACTAACCGGCCGTGCCTCATCCTGCATCACCTGAGTAGGAAGAGGTCCTGGAGCAGGGGGCCAGCTGAACTGATCTTGAAAGTGCTTAGCCCAGCGAGCCATACGGTGCGATTTTTATTGTGAATCAGGGCATCTGTGCTGCATATGATTCCCACTGACGCCTGGTTTCCTGGGACCAGTGGTGCAGATCAATGCGAAGTGTGTGATAATTGCCTACTACTCCTGCCTCCCACATATCTTGAGTCCGACTGGTCGACCTGGCTTCCTTGTAAACGCGCAGGCTCCGCTTCAATCCGCAGTTAATAATCCGTCCGGTCACACCGTGCTCAGAGCTAGCCGGAAAGTTTCTTCTGGATACTAACAGGTTCACCGATTTCTAGGATATCCAGTGATTGGTGCGGTGACGATTGATAGTACTACAAGCCGGTGCTCCTGTGTCGTGTATGGTGATCAAGATCCAATTCCACTGAAGCTCAATATCATCAGGATAAGGGAGGGAAAGTTCGGTACGCAGTGCATGCTGGTAGCCTTGCCTGACCGAGGGCTGAGATAAGTTCTTAGTTGTCAATCAACGGATGCTTGGTGCGCCTACAGGTAAAGTGAATAGAAAAACGACAGCGCACTAATGCATGACCAGATTGGACGCAAATAGTCCAGAACGAGCGCCAATCCAGGATGGAACCACACTACCTGCAAAGCATGGTAATGTGATCGTTTTGGGTCCATCGATGTCCAAGTTGCATTTCGGAGTCCACTGTTAAAGAACGGTGCCAATAAGAAACAACAGGTACTCTGCACACAGTTGCAATGGACGCTCGTCGTTGTCTGTACCTTCGGAGTTACGCCCATATTTACCAACTAGCTGAGCTTATGGAGAGCCCAGGCGACCTACTTGTGAATTCATTCGTTGTGCAAGTATTATATCTGAACAAATAGCATTGTGTGGCAGCGTGTTAAGTTCGTAGTAGAATGTATCCCTGGCTGCAACAGAAATGCAGTCAGTGGGAGCATAAGCGGAAACTACAAACAAACAGCATCATGTACTACTTCGTGAATCAACCTTAGTTGATGTCGTCAAACGGACTGCATACAAACGGCTGCTCATGGGATTCCAATGAACGAACGAGGACAGCCTTGGAACTGAGAACAATCCCCGCTTCAGCTCGACCAGTGGTTGCCTCAGCAACGTCACCGGATGTGTGCAAACAATAGCGAGAGGACAAACCGGGCGCAATTAATTCAAAAACCTCATGAGAATCATTGATGTTAGATTTGGACACGCAACGTACGCTAATACCCAGGATGTCCAGCGTGCGTGCGTGCGAGTGCAGGCTGTTGACCTATTTGTCTTGGAGTACGAACGTTGAATGCCGCCAACGAAACGGGATAGCGTGACCTTGAAAGAGACTGTTACCGATAAGTGTCCGGTGGGTAATGCGGGAAGGTGGCTGCAGCCAGTTCGACTCCAATGGAATTACGACTGCTGTCAAGCTAGGAACTATAGAAGGAAAATTAGTAATGAGGGTTGGGAGAGGGGTAAGAGAAACGGATGGAGAATGAAGAATGGAGGCACTGGCGGTAGCATGTTTTCGCTTATCCGCCTTGCGGTATGCAGCAGACAAGGCGACCCTTGATACGTTGCGCGACAGCAGATGCCTGATCCGGTTGAAGTTTGAAGTAATCATGGTTCTATGGGGGCTGAAATATTGTCAGAGCGCCCAAAACAAGACAGAACGATTAGGGTCCCCAACCAAAGCCTTTGGCTCAAAAGCCTGTCCGCAAGACGGCGGGAGTGGCAACCATTCGGTTTTGTAGAAATGGACGACATCCCAAACTGGAAAACCAGGAGACTGGGTTTGTCTGACATCCAATCATTAACTAACGTGGTAGGAATAGCTCTCAAAGAACCTGGGGGCACCACCCAGTATAGCTTAATAAGTCAAAGAGGTTCACAAACCACGTTAAGGTCCCGTCTCGCTGCGACAGCTACTTAAAGGAACTCAACTGGAGAAATAAAGGAAATGAAGATTCGTAGTAAATGACGGATGCACACGCTATCCCAAATGGACATGATGTTCACTTAAGATCGAGAAGAGACCAATCAATGGCATGTAGAAATAAAAACATGAGTAGTGTGCCGTCCCGACACCTTTCGCGATTCCTTACGCAGGTATGAGCCGGCAACGCACCTAGTGCCGCCGATGGAAAGGTCGATATCTTGGATTTCATGACAGTAGACTGCAGCCGCGGTCTTGGTGATGGCGAACTAAAGACGGCATGAAGTGGAGAGATCATTTAAAGTGCACATTAGTTTGAGATGGTTTATTGGTAACAAGTGGTAGACCAAGGAAGCAAACACAAGAAGGGACTGACGCAGAGGTACACCACTGCAGTAATTGATTGATCTCATCAATGATGAGAAGCTGCCGGATAAGATGTAAGCGTAATGGGTATTTGTTATAACGCGCAATCGACCGGTTGGTACACGCCTGCTGGTAGATCTGCGCCCTTACGCCTGCTCTGTTTGACGTTTTGGGCAACGCGATTGGAAGAGAAACAGAAGAAGACCTAGCCGACCAGAGTTGCATTACAATCGAGAACGCTCATATTTATAGGTCGGTATCACCAATCCTCTAAACACCGCCTGGCGAATTTGGCTACCTTGCACGCCCATGCTCAACACTTGAGTGTCCGCTTCGTCTGGCCAGTTCAACGTTTTGCTCGGGCACGCCAGTCTTCATCCACCTACCTGGGGGGATGGCAACGTACATGATGTCTGACGCGCAGTTTCATCAGGTTCCGGTCAAACCATGGCAACACGCATGACGCACGCTGGGCTGTGGTAACACGCTCGCTTTGTGGCAAACACGCGAGCGTTGGCAATCAGCTTTCTTGCCCACCGGTCAATGTTACTCATGTCATTGCTCCTCTGCTTCATATCTTAACAGTTGTATCCGATGGGCCTTGCTTTTTCGTTAGTTTATGGTGTATCAATAACGTTGTCCTAGTCTCTTGCGTTTTCCGATCAACAGGATTATTAAGGTTAGTTCATGATAACATGGGGCAACGCGCTCTGCTGTAATCAGGTGCGCGCATCATAATCAATTAACAGGACTGAGTCGAACCGAACCGGAACCACGAGCAAACACCGAAACAAAACGACTCGATCAACTTAGCAATGAACAAGAAAGTTTAAGAAGTGGTCAAAACAGGCCTACCTCGCTTCTTCCTCAGCCACCTTCCCCTCTGCCTCTAAATCGGCATCACTGAGCTCCTTCTTTTTAATAGCAGCTGAAGCCCCATGACCAGAATCATCGCTATCCTCCGCAGCACCATACGGAGCGAGCGCAATGCTACCGCCAGTCGTAGTCTCTGAACGTTGCCGACTCTCACCGGCTGCCACGGAGGTGGTAGCAGCCTCGAGCATTGCGAAACCTGTGTCAGCTGTTCGACTTGCCTCTGACTACAAATAGGATAACAAAATTTGGTAAGCAGTGCGAAGTACTGAGCAATAAAGAAAGGTGTACGGAACAGGACTTACGTTGTGGGATTCGTTACGCTGAGCCACTGCAATCGGTGTTTTCTTTTGGGCGTTCATGCGCTTGGCCCATTTTTCCATTTCTTTTGCGATTTGCTGTGCTGATTTTCCTTTGGACAATCGTACCTAGAAGAGAAATGTCTGTATTAGCACGATCAAAAAACTAACGAACAAGTCATCCCTGCAAAAAGGATGAGGATTCGCTCAGCCGACTACAAGAGAACGGCAAAAATGGAAACAATGGAGAAACAGCTAACATCACACGACATTCAGGTGCGATATGCTGAACCGAGTTGAAAGACGAAAAGCAATCGCGCAGTAAATCGTGGTTTCTAACGACGAAATAGGAGTGCGTTAAAGAAATGTGTTAGAGCAGAGGGGAATCATATCAAAAATACAAAATTGACGGAGAATGACATAACTATTCCCACTCAAAGAGCTAGGAGCTCATTTCGGCTGATGAATGGTGCATTGTAGGGCAATGGTTTACGAACCAGATTGGCTGAGTGGCTGGAGGAAGAAAACTGCCACAGCGGTTAAGCACACAACTTACACGTTCACCACCCTCAGTATTACTAGCTTGCGTTTCACTGCTATTCGCTGGCTGTGTCGCGTTCGCATCTGATTCCTGTTTCGCCGCCGGTTCGGCACCTGGTTGTGGTACGGGAAAGTAAGTGCTACGTGTTTGGTCCCAATAATAGTAGCGCTGGCTGGCACGGTCGTAGAAGTATTTGGAGTTGGGTTCGTAAAGAAGACCCGTAACTGGGTCGTAATAGAACCGAGTGAATTCGTCATATATGTACTTTGTTGTATCCGGGAACGCTGAAGGTGAGTCAAGGGGACAATAGTAAATATCACATGACAGTAAACAGGGAATCAAAACAAAATTGCGATGGAAAGCAGTGGATGCTGCAACAAGGCGTTGATTAATGTGAAAAGGAGGCCAAAATCCAGATAGGAATAAACACATATAGGACAGTGGGACGAAGGAGGATGTTCTGAAAATGTGTATTACACTTAGGCAAAGTACAAAACAGGTCAGGCTTGAGTTAAGGTTCTCTTTAAAAACGCGTGAAAAGCAATTACATAAGTTTCAATAATGTGCAGCGCAAAGCGTCGACAGTACGCAGGTATTTCGCACCCAAGCTTCACGGTCATCTGAGGGGGGCGGGAATGGATACTATGTGGTTCGTGCTGACGCAGGTTCCAACTGAAGAGCTGGAATCTGTAAGCCAAACGCTTGAAATAGTAGGCAACGTATGCGTTCTGAGAGCAAGACGAACCAAAAGCGAGAGCGCTGGGAAGCGAACACATGTCTAGGATTACTCTGCGAGGTGATCGTGCACACAGTAAAAAGGCTAAAATGCTGATGTATAAGCGCAGCACAAAGCAGAGTGAGCAAAACTGCCAGACTAACCAGGACATGCCTACCAGTAAAGCGGATATACTCGAATCCGACATGCAAAGCGAAAGGCCTGTTGAGGTGCCAAGAAATGGTGGTGTATTTCACGAATAGCTAGCTGGGTTGTGAAAATAATCAATTGACTGATCCCAAAATGAACAACGGTACAATGCCGGAAACTCGTACCGATATTTTACCGCAACGCAACTTCAATGGATTACATGCAAGAAGGGACAATGCCAGATCAAACGCGTCAGGAGGCAACAGGCCAAGAGCCCGGTCCACTCCACCGAAGATAGAAATATCCATGTAAGTTGTACTCGGGATAAGATAGCGCCGGAACCAACAAATGCATGCAGGAGCGGGGAAGAGAACCAGTGGAGTAGAGGTTGCGAACGGATCTCAAACTAATGCACAGTGGAGTCCAACTCTAGGCACGATCAATGCGATAACAGCATCTGTCGTTTGACATCCGGATGGATAAACAACTAAATGGATAGCCCGATTGTACCAACCGGTCAGAGAAGTGTAGTATGGAGAGATCCGGATGCCAGCTGCTGTCGATATTGCACATCGCGTAAGGAGTACCGGTTGATTGGGCGCTTCAAAGAAATAACCTTAGGAATAGCAGCAAACTGGTATCTACACAACAGACAGATAAATATCATAGTCGAACTACCCGAAAATCGACAGAGAAGGCGAAGCAGATGGAATGCTACGCCGAACGTCGTCAACACAAGGAATTCTTTGACTCCTTGAAGGCAGTGCATGGACGCACGTTGCCGCCGCTGAGACTGCTGCTCGATGTTACTTAAGACACCGCCTACACACAGACTACAGACATGAAGCAGATCTGGCGAACGCACCTTGTCTCTTGAAGCGTTCAGATAGAGTGCACTACATTGAATGGCCTGAAACAGCACGACGTATAGATGAGTCTTGTGGACACGCCACACTGGATGAGATGCAGAGAGCACTTGCTCACCTGCGAGACGGCAAGTGTGCCGGTGCCGACGGGATCCCGCATGAAATATTGAAACACGGTGGACCCGCGTTGGTGAATGGGCTGCACCACTTGGTGCTACCGCTACAAGAGCAAAGGGAGCAAACAAGGTTGTACAAATTATCATGGCATCAACTTGCTGAGTTGTGTTGGCAAGGTGATTGCCCGAATTCTGCGCAACCGCTTCGTCAGTCAGGTTGTGGAACCGAACGTGGCGGAAGAGCAATGTGGATTCTGTTCGCGTCGCAGTACTATCGATATGGTGTTTGCGGCTCGCCAGTTGCAGGTGAAGTGTAGAGAACGACACCAGCCATTGTACTCGCTGTTTGCTGACATCACCAAAGCATTTGATACGGTGAACCGCAAAGCGTTGTGGCTGTTGTTGGATAAATTCGATTGCCCACGTAAGTTTGTAAGTTTAATTGAATGTCTGCACAGTGGTATGCGAGTGAGGCTGAGTGGACAAACCTGGGATGACTTTGCAGTTATCTCTGGTGTGAAGCAAGGCTGTGTCTTAGCTCCTGCCCTGTTTAATATATATCTTCATGCAATGTTGTATTGTGCTTTTGATGCGGCTTGTGCTTACGGTGTTCGTGTGGAGCACCGTATTGATGGTGAGTTGCTGAACACCCGTCGTTTCGGTGCGAGAACTCTAGTCTGTGAGACAACTATCCGTATGTTGCTGTTTGCTGACGACCGTGCGTCGTTTTCACACGGCGCGGATGAGTTGCAGCACATGACTAATACTCTGGCTTCGACAGCTGCCGAATTCGGGCTCACCATCAACACAAGCAAAACTGTCTGTCTCTTTCAGCCTTCACCGGAGGTGCAATCTTCAATATTGCCGCGAGTCAGCATTGGTGACGAAGTATTTGAAACCACCTCCCGCTTCTGCTACCTTGGGAGTACTGTTTCGAGTGACCAGCTCCGTATTCGCGTGTCGTAGGCATCAGCGGGATTCGGGAAGCTTGAGTAGCGAATGTGGGACAAACAACAGCTTATCGTTGGCACAAAACTAATGGTCTATAAGTCCATAGTGCTGTCAGTTGTTCTATACGGCAGCAAAACACGAAGGATATACCGGCGAGATATGAGATAACTCGAGCGGTTTCATCAAGTGTTTGCGACGGACTCTGCACACCGGTTGGTGTGACATAGTTGCAGACACGCAAGTGTTGCGCCGTAGTGGAATGTATGCAGCGGACTGTATTATTTTGCAGACACCTGAAGTGGCTCGGTCATGTGTACCGCATGGATTCGACGCGGATACCGAAGCAGCTGTTATATAGTCATCTGAGTGGGGGAAGCGGCATGAGGAAAAACCGAAGCTTTATTGCCAAAACATGATCAAGGTAAGTCTGTCAGGTCCTAATATTGATTTCAGGTGTTGAGAATCGAAGGCGGTTGATCGGTGTGCATGGTGAGATCTGATCACGAATGTAGTTGCTGAGGTGCAGGAGAATGCACTCGTGTATGCCGAGAAGAGGCGGCAGGCGCCGATGGAGTGTACGCCATCGACGTTGAGCACATGGTGCTGTAGCACATGCGGTCGCGCCTACTGAGCCAATAGCGAGGCCACTCAAGGCCAGCATCGAAACGACGACAGGTCTTGCTTAGAACGAAAGCAGAACCGGCGCATCGTTGGTAGGTAGGCTGCATGCGCTTACATTCAATTTACTAAACGCGTGCTTACGTGCTGGGTTTCTCTATTTCAGGTGATTGGTTTGCTACATCCTTTTAAGGTATATCATGTTACCACATCCTAATGCCTACTTGAACAATCCTTAATTTACTTGCATACGTCGCCTAAACGAAAGGTGGTTAACTTCGTTAATTGAACGCGTTTGTTGCAATTTTTGAAATATTGTTCTGACCCTTTGAAGTTACTGCGGATTTGTTGATAACCCATTTATTCTAGAAGCTAATTTAGCGAACAGTTATGTCGACAAATTCGTATACATTATTCGGTATAGCGTATTTGATGATGTCATTTCAAGTAATTGGCTATCGCTTGACACTCTTGATGTGCCTGCACTTGATTTGAATGTTAAAAAGGTACCTGCCTGTCTAACACCCTCCACCACGACTACTGGCTCAAGAAGATTGGGAATCGTTGCAGGGGGTGGACGGCCCTCGGGACCGTGCTAGGCTCAAAGTGGTTCCATCCAGTGAGGAGCAGTCATCATCATCATCATTATACATGTCAGCTAGAGATGGTAAAACACCTCCGCTATTGTACCGCAATACATAAAGGAAATACATACATACATACAATACATAAAGGAAAAGTAAATACGACAGTTGCATGCCAGCTGAGCTACCAGCAACGGATACGCATCGTTCCGGTAAGCTACTAGCCGGCTACTAGGCAAAACCAAAAATTTAATTACGTTTTACCCTACGAAATAAGATCGTAGATGGAGGGGGAGGCTAAAGGGATGGGGAGGGACAAAGAAACTCACAGCAGGAACGCCACTGAGGTCGGCTCCTTGCCATATCAGCATGTGTATCCAGCCAAACGTGTTCACCGTCTTTTGGACCCCAACCAGGGAGCCGTGAAGCTCCAACTGAGGCCAGCTCCGAAGTGAGGGCCTTCATTCCTCTGGACCAAGTCATCGCTTGGCCACCTCTCCTCTTCTTCCACCCACATCCCCGGTGAGCAAACAACGCACGTCGAGGGAGTCGGTGGGCTGGCATGCGCAACACGTGGCCCAGCCATCGGAGCCTGGTGCTTGAAATGACGGTGAGGAGCAGACTATAGTCCAGCCACCGCCTTGTGTACATCCGGTACACATGGTTTTCCAATTCGGCATGAATGCTTCTGCACTGCTTGCTGAAGGTGTGGACTGGTTCCGTTGGCATAAAGTGGCTCTCAGCCACTTGCCTCCCGGTCTTATCTTTATGGGTGTATCCTGGATATGCTGAGTGTAGATGGAGCTATGGGTGGTGCAGCGCAAACCACGCATGGTCCTTCTGTAGGCGCAGGCGTCCTGTGGCTGTTCTATGGAGGCCTCAATGATAAACAAATCCGGATATGGATGTCGCCAACCGAGTGGGCTGAAAGCGTGGCTTGCAAACATAGTCACCCATTCGAATTCGCTAAGGGGCGGAATTCCTCGCACCATACTCAACTCACGCGCGACTATTAGTGGCCGCGCCGCAGCGAAGCGACGTTACGGAGTACAGCTGAAGGATATATATGGATGATGGCATCCGGTTTCCGATTTGCCTGTCACTGTGGCAAGCCACAGGACGCCTGCGCCTACAGAGGGATCATGGATGGATTGCGCTGCACCACCCACAGCTCCAAGCACACACCCCATATCCAGTGTAAACCCGAAGGAATAAGACCGGGAGGCATGCGGATGGGAACCAGGTTTCATCAACGGAGCCGGCCCACACTCCTTCACAGGCAAACACAAGCACGCTGTATTTGGGAATCAAGTGCACACAAGGCGGTGGCTGGACCGTAGTCCACTCCACACTGAGTGCATGGAACCACTTTCCGAGCCTAACACGGCCACAAGGACCGTTCACCCTGTCCCCTCCAGCAACGACCAACTGTCTCCTGGAGCCAGTATGGACGAGGTAGTGGGTAATAGACAGGTAGGCACCTTGTCAACATGCACATCAAGCGCAGCCACACCGGGGATATCAAACAACAGTCAAACACTTGAAAGAGAGAGAGAAAGAAAATAACTCGTGTGGTGCATAAGGAAACGGTGACATAAACCATAAGTTAATGAGCATATGAATAAGATGTTTACAAACGAATCCTAGATAAGTTCACGAGGTGAGAAAGTATACTATATGGAAATGCCACGAACACAAAAATGCTATGGAAATCGAATACAATTGGCTTAAGCGAGGTGTGCAAGTTAATGGAATAGAGTACAGGTAGACATTTAGATGAGAAAGAAAAGTATAAAGGCAAAATTGAAAACCCACCACCTGAAATAAAGAGACTTAGCATGCAAGCACGCGGTCAGTAAAAAGAATGCAGCGTATCTACAGACGCTGCACCGGTTTTGAATGCTTCTCTGCAAGACCCGTCGTCACTTCCGTAGTGATCCCGAGTGGCCTCGCTCATGACTCACTATACACTAGACATTTATAGGAGAAAGGCATTAGGACAAAAGTGAAAACCCACCACCTGAAATAAAGAGACTTAGCATGCAAGCACGCAGTTAGTAAATCGAATGCAGCGTACCTACAAACGCTGCGCCGGTTCTGCCTATGTTCTCTGCAGAACCCGTCGTCGCTTCCGTAGTAGTCCCGAGTGGCCTCGCTCATGGTTCACTAAGTCTGCCTGACTCAGGCACTCGCGACCGCATGTGCTACAGCACCATGCGCTTGATGTCGATGGAGTACAATTCATCGGTGCTTGCCGCTTCTTCTCTGCATGCATGAGGGTTTTCTCCCGCACTTCAGCAACTGTCTTCGTGATTTGATCGCGCCATGCACCACGATCAACCGCCTTCGATTCCCATGACCTGCAATCAAAGTTAGAACGTGTAAGGCTCACTTTAATCATGTCCTGGTAACGTAACTTTGGTTTCCCCACGTGACGCTTCCCAATACTCAGCTGACCGTATAAGAGTTGTTTCGGTATCCGCGTTGAAACAATACGGCTCACATGACCGAGCCATCTCAGGTGTCTCAAGAAAAGTATGCAGTCCACTGCATACATCCCACTTCGGCGCAAAACTTCCGTGGCTGCAACTCTGTCGCCCCAGCCGATCCGCAAAATCCGTTGCAGACACTGCTGATGGAACCGCTCGAGATATCGCACATCTCGCACGTTTTAATGCCGTATAGAGGAACGGACAGTACCATGGATTTGTACAACATCAGCTTCGTGCCAATGGTAAGCTGATGGTTGTCCACACTCGGTACTCAAGCTTCCCGAATGCCGCTGCTGCCTTCGACACGCGAATACGCAGCTCGCTGTGTAGCTGCTGATCAGTCGACATCACACTCCCAAGGTAGCTGAAACGGGAGGTGGTTTCCAATACTTCAGCACCAATGCTGACTCGCGGCAATATTGAAGATTGCACCTCCGGTGAAGGCTGAAAGAGACAGACAGTTTTGCTTGTGTTGATGGTGAGCCCGAATTTGGCTACTTTCGAAGCCAGAGCACTAGTCATGTGCTGCAACTCATCCGCGCTGTGTGAAGACAACGCACAGTCGTCAGCAAACAGCAACATACGGATAGTTGTCTCACAGACTAGAGTTCTCGCACCGAAACGACGGATGTTCAGCAACTCACCATCAATACGGTGCTCCACACGAACACCGTAAGCACAAGCCGCATCAAAAGCACAATACAGCATTGCATGAAGATATATATTAAACAGGGCAGGAGCTAAGACACAGCCTTGCTTCACACCAGAGACAACTGCAAAGTCATCCGAGGTCTCTCCACTCAGCTGCACCCTCGCTCGCATACCACTGTGCAGACATTCAATTAAACTTACAAACTTACGCGGGCAACCAAACTTACCCAACACCAGCCACAATGCCTCGCCGCATTTGATATATATATATATATATATATATATATATATATATATATATATATATATATATATATATATTCATTTTTGTATGACTCTTCAACTGCAGTAGCACCAGTTCGTGGATCACCGCAATAGGTACATGGATTGGTGGCATCTGTATCCGGATTTGTCTGTCACTGTGGCCTCCACGAGAACAGCCACAGGATGCCTGCGCCTACAGAGGGACTATGGATGGCTTGCGCTGCACCTTATATCAGTGTAAATCCGAAGGAGTAAGATCGTGAGACACATGGATGGGAGCCGTTTCAACAAACAAAACAGAAGCATTGCTGCCTAATTGGGAAATCGCGCGCACCAGACGTACACAAGGCGGTCGCTGAGCCGTAGCTCGTTCCACACAGGATGCGTGGAACCACTCTTTGAACCTAGCACCGTCACGAGGATAGTGCACTCTGATCCCTCCAGCAACAATCAACTGTCTCTTGGAGCCAGTAACCGAGGTAGAAGGTATTAGACAGGTAGGCACCTTGTCAACATTCACATCAGACATAGCCCCACCGGGGAGTTCAATCAACATCTGAATCAACTTCTGAACTACAATAACACTCATCACGCAGACAGGCGTACCACATACGCCGCTTTACTGGCCTGGATTAGTAGATCGAATGGGAGCATATGAATCGTGCTTCTCTTCCGCGTGCAAAAGTGCCTTCTCCTGCGCGTTGGCAACCGCCCTCTTGATCAGACTATGGAATTCGCACCGATCAAATTCGCCTTTGATTCACAACACCTGTAATCCACATTAGTTCCGTATAGACGCACCTTGTTCATGTCCTGATAATGCTATTTTCGGTTTAAACTAGTGCCGCTTCCGTGCACTAAGTTGGCCGTACAAAGGCTGTATGAGTATCCTCGTGGAATTCACTCGGTATACATATATACATGGATTGTCGTCATTCGTGTTCAATGGCAGTTCAAATAAAACATATGCACATGGGATTGTCCAGTTAAGTATGAACTGCCACAAACTGGATAGAGACAATAGTACAAACGTGCATGGGTTTCCTTTGGATGTCAAGCCACTTTCGCATAGATGAGAATAAGTACCCAATACGAACTGTTGGTCTTTTTTTAACATGTAGATGTGAACAGACAGCCTTAAACCTTGAGCATCAATATCGGAACGAAATCAACATAGGAATAGTAAAGCAACTGCCATCAGGTAGAATGATAAATAAGCAAATGATACAGTAAAAGAGTGTGAATTTAGGTATTGCCTCCTATATGTACAGTCTGATGAGGGAGATCGCACAGCGTGCGAATCCGATGGGGTGTTCATCTCATGGTCTCCGTGTCACCGCCCGGGGTAAGTGCGCATTCGCAAAGAATGATTTTTGCGCACTCTTAAGCATTGACAGGTGGCAATACCACATATTCTCCGCTTATGGTCTGAAGGCACGACCAGTACCGCAGTCCTACACCAACTAAATCCCACTGCTCAGTGTCAAACATGCGGTTTTCCAGTGTTCGCACTGTTTTGCAAATGTCCAAAACATAGCATGGCTGTTATCCAAGTACTCAACCGTTGGTATATACCGCTGTGTACTCTGCTGTGGTCATAATCTATCTGGTAATGATCTGCATCGTACGTATCGGGTGCAGCCATTAGGTGCCCCTAAAACGACCGTCACTATGCGCTGATTCCCGTAGATACACAGACACCTAATAACCGTCTAGCCTAGTGCTAAGTCCCTAGATTTTGTAAGTGACGTACTGTACGGTACACCTCTGGGTGCTGGCAAGCATGTATGTATATAATTTCGGTGTGCTTATTTCTGAACACCACCAGATTACCTTTGAGTTAGGGAGCTATGTATCCAAATTTTGGCGGGGACAGGTTTGGTGACTTGAAACTACATATACATTAATTTAAAAGTCTACGGCGGCACAGAGAATCTTGCGTTAAATATTTAACAAATCCGGAAACCGAGTGCAATGAAACATCCAAGTAGCATCCCGCCCGATGCCGAGAAAGTAGTGGGTTTTAAAGCGGCGTCTTGCAATTAATTGTAGAGTAATCGTAGTAGTTTGTAAATAAGTAGAGAAGATAGCAGTGGTTAAGACTGCGTTTCCATGGACCAGAAAAGCGTGTGGTTTTCGTGGTGACTCAAACTAATGAATTAGAGTCAAAAATCACATATCTGGTTTTCAACATGATTTTGATGTAATCTTGGTACGAATAAGAAAATTGGGACACCGTAGCCGAAAATCTCATATGCGATCGAAGATTGCGCAGAGGATCAGGTGAGAGCGAATACGCGAGTAATCCGTGCAGAACATCTAAGGATGAAAGACCATTTTATATAGCAACTTACGGAATACAGTCACGGCCGCCGTGGCCGCGTTAAACATGAAGCTTGGCGGAGGCAGGGATTGACCAGTTGCGGCTAAAGTGGCCACGGTGGAAGGATAGGGACTCGGTTGAGGATGATCATGTGACGAACGCAAAGATTTCGCCAATGCAGAAATCACATGTTGTTCTGTTTGCTTTTGTTGAATGGCAGCGTGTGCTACCGCTGGCCCGCTTGTTAGTCCCTGGTTTAAAAGAGCAGACGCAGCCACTGCATTCATGGCAACGGTGTCCGGAGCGGCATTGTTATTCTGAGCGGCCATTGCTGCGTGTGCCAGATCGACAGCCAGATTGCGACTGCTGTTCAACTGGGCGTTGTACGACCCTTCGGTTTTTAATGTCGCCATAATGGTACTAAGGGAGAATTCGTATGTAGAAGATGAAAACTGTATGGAGGGCAGTGCAGTTCGAAGGTTTCATTTGCTAAAATGTTGCATCTAGACCGCGCTGCCGCAGAGGTTATCTTTATATAAAGGTTTTATATATATATACATACATATAAAGATTATTTATCTAAACACAGTAGGAGCAATCGGTGGAAAGGAAAAGTAAAAGATTGAGCAGATTTGCTCATCACTGCTAACAAGGTAGCACGACAGTACCTATAGCAAATTGAAGCTAGGTGTAATCGAACGTCGCATAAGTTTGAAGTAGATGAGCATTGTCGAAAGATGTAATGAAAACAGCCGCCTACTGATATCATTCTCCATTCGAGTAAGTTGATGAAAAAGGGACACGAATTGTCGCTGATAAATCCGATTGATAGAAAGTAGAATATGGTCAGGGTAAAAAAGTAAGCATAACCTGTGGTTAGGCGCAGTCGCCGGAGAACCGTCAAAGCGGTTAGAAAATGTGACAAGGATCCGAAACGGAAGACAAGTATCAGAAGAGTAACGAGAGCAAAAGTAAGTACAACCCTACGTGTCACTCCTTGGCAGGTTGGTTTAACCAGACAACTGGGGAAGACTTATAAAACCATCTTATACACAGCACAACCGAGAGATAAGATGCAACGCAAAGCCATAGACCGACGACAGGCGATGTATGCTCAAGACCTAGATGGTTGTGAAGCATCCTTCTCATGTGATAGGTATATATCAGAAATAGCGACAAAAATAAAAACAATACGAATTAGCATAACGAAAAAGGAAGTAAAAGTAAATACATGTGCTTTTACGATCAAAGAAACGCGTATAAGGCAATGCAATACGCTTGAACAATCCAGTTGAGAGAAAAAGCAAAATAAGATGACACCTCTGGACTTACTTGAAAGTGTTTTTAGCATATGAAACGGTAACCGCTTTCCCACCAATCTCAAAGAGTTTGAACTCCTTCGAGACGATATCCATAACCTTGTAAGCGTCGGCAACCGTCGGCAACTCAGCAAACGCGAAACATCGGGATGTATGTGTGACTTCGTCTCGCATCACATGGCACTGACGTACCTTAACGTCAGCCGTGTCTTCAAACACCTTACAAATGTCTTCCTCAGTAGTCAAAGCGTCCAAACAACGGAGTACCAGGGCTGTGCAAGGAAGGATGACAGGTAAAGGAGTTAAATAAGAGGCATGTTTACTGAAAAATGTGAGAGGAAAAACGGTTGTTATGAGATGAATTAACTAGCTCCGCCCTGCAAGCATATGGTTGACGGCATCCGGTTTCGGATTTGCCTGTCACTGTGGTCAGCCACAAGACGCCTGCGCCTACAGAGGGATCATGGGTGGCATACGCTGCACCATCCACAGCTCTAACCACACACCCCATATACAGTGTAAACTCGGAGGAATAAGACCGGGAGGCGTGTGGATGGGAGCCAGGTTTCATCAACGGAGCCGGTCCACTCCTTCACAGGCAAACACAAGCACGTTGTAGTTGGGAAATCAAGTGCACACAAGGCGGTGGATGGACCGTAGCCCGCTCCACACTGAGTACATGGAACCGCTTTTCGGGCCTAGCACGGCTACAAGGACCGTGCACCCCGTCCCCTCCACAACGACTAACTGTCTCTTGGAGCCAGCATGAACGAGGTAGTGGGTAACAGACAGGTAGGCACCTTGTCAATATGCACATCAAGCGCAGCCATACCGGGGATATCAAGCAACAGCCGTTCACTTGAAACGACAGGAGGAAATAAAGTAAATCGAATAATGCACACAGATAAGGTGGCATAACTCTTCGCTAAATTACCATATGAAGTAAGCTGGATAGTAAGGAATCCTCGGTAAGTAAAAATGTCCACAAGTTGCTTAAAAATGCTACAAACGTAACAAAGTAACCGAAGATAAGCGCAATCAGCATAAGCAACGTGGCCACTTAAGAGTATTCAGGTAGGCAGAACAAATCAAACAAAGTGAAATTAAATTTATCCAGCTTAAAAAGACCTAATTTAAGTGTAAGTTGGTTTAGCCCAACTGATGCTTAATGCTTCCTCACTACAAGGAAGCAGTAAGAATGCAACATCAGCCTCAGCACGCATATATATATATATATATATATATATATATATATATATATATCGCAAACCTCCCAATAATATAGTGCCTAAGATCATTATGTGTACGGTTGGTGAGTTGTAGTTCCACTAATGAAGACTAGGTCTCCGTTTTTCCAGTGTTCCAATAGGATTTTGCTTACATTTGTAACTGAATATATGTTGCTTATTCATATCCACTTTGTTTAGCCATTCATTAAGGATAGAGAAAACCGAACACCGTGTTGTGTTTTCTTGTTCTAGCTTGCGGGTATTGTGCAGAATGATTATGCGGTCAAAGCCAATCATTTTCCAGTTATCCAGCTCCCTGTGGAAAGTTTATATTAACCGGCTATGGCTTAGCCCGCTGTTCTGAATGCGTATCGAAGTACGCTGACATGCGAGTTGAGTAAGCGCTCACTAGAGACAAGTGATGGTCACTGGTCACATGTTCGCCAGACCTTGCTAGCAGCAGGCAAATCTTCATGTGGTATGTCTAATAGCCAACACGCATATTGGGTCTCCTCGCGGTCACTGGAACTTATCGACGCTCGCCGACATATCCCGGCTAGAAGCGAACACAATGAAACGCGCAAAGAGCTCCGGGCAAGACTCCGTGCTAGCCTGAAGGGAGACCGCGAATCTTGGTGGTCTCACCATGCGTCAGAGATGGAAGTGGCCTCTGCCCTTGGTAGCCATCGCAAGTTATTCCGTAGTTGATATCGTCAAACGGGGCTCATGGCAATCTAATCAAAAAACGATGACAGCCTCGGAATTTGACAAATGTCACATGAGCGTCTCCGGACGTGTGCAACCTACAGCGAAAGGACAAGCCGAGCGCAGTTAGTTCAACAATCTAGTGAGAATCACTGATCCTAGATTCGGACACGTAACACACGCCAATACCCAGAGTGTCCAACATGCGTGTGAGTGCATTCAGTTGCCTTGTGTCTTCAAGTGCAAACGTAGAATGCAGCCAAGTAAACGGGACAGCGTGACCTTATAAGAGACCGTTGACGATAGGCGCTCACTGTGTTGTGCGAGAAGATAGTCGTAGATCGTATAATTCGTGGTACTGCGGTTGCTGTCGATTAGGTAAGGAAATAAAGGTCAGTAATTCCAGTGAGGTGGATAAGACAAATAGACGGAATAGAAGGGCGGTAGTAGCATGTTTTTACACCCGCCGTGTTATATGCAACAGATAAGACGATGCTTTGAAAGCATACGACCGACAAAGATGGTTGAAGCTTGTTCAAATAGTCATGGTTGTCATCATTATCAACACACGATAGCAGAGGGTGAGAAATACGCGACAGCTAATGTGCCACAATACGACAAATATAGGATAACAAAATCACTACAAAATATCCAGAAGATCAATAAAAGGCTGAATATCATAATATTAAATTAAAATGAGATCGTAAGTGGAAGGGGAATCTAAACGAGAGGGATGGATAAAGAAACTCACAGCACAAGCGTTATTGGAGCCGGCTCCTAGCCATATCAACAGGTGCGTCCAATCAAACGTGTTCATAGTTTTAGGACCTCAGCCAGGCAGTTGGGATGATCTAACCGACGTTAATTTCGAAATAAGGAACTTCACTCCTCTTGACCAAGTCATTGCTTGGCCTCCCCTTCTCTTCGTCCATCCACACACAGCGCGCAAACAATGCACGTCGCGAGAGTCGGTGTGCTGGCGTGCGCAACACGAGCCACAGCCATTGGTGGGTGATATAACGGTGCTCAGCGGTTCACTTCCTCTTAGTGCACCAAATATGCGAAGCTGTGCACATTCATTGCCACCGCGATAATCGAACGTGGCTAGCCACTTTATGATTGTCGAACTGATGGCCCAAGTTTCACACCCGTATATGAGGGTTGAACGGACGGCTGTATCATAAACGCTGCCCTTCAGGGGGTGAGTGATGTCGCGTCTGCGCCACAGGTGACGGAGAATGGCAAAAGCACCTCCAGCTTTTGCTACACGGTTCGTAATCTCAGCCTCGATCCCAAGGGCGCTAATATAGCTGCCCAGGTACTTGAATTCCTGAACTTCTAGAGGATCACCACCAAGAGCTAGCGTATAGCTGGGTTCCTGCCAATCTTGGAGAACTTTGCATTTCGATGGAGCAAAGCATAGCCCAAAACAATTGACAGCCGTGCTAATCGGTCCAGCGCACCGTGGCACATTTTGGCGCTGTCACACGAGGAAAATGTCGTCCGCATATGCAAAGATGTCACTCACCAGGAAGTAGCTCGACACCTTCTAGGTCGTATCCAGCGACTGCCGTTTCTATGACTTTATCACTAGCGAAGTTAAAGAAAAAAATAACAGCGTGCAACATCGCTGGAGATACTGAAAGGCGACGAAAGTTTAGCATAAACATTCACTCTGCGAGAACTATGCCCTTACAGCACTTTGATATTGTTTACGTATTTATCAGGCACACCTTTCCTCAGCAGACAGTCCCAAAGGACGCATCGACCCATCGAATGGAAGGCATCTTTGATGTCGAGAAATACGACAACGGTAGGTCACCAATAAATATGGCGATGCTCCAGCAACTGACGTAAAAATGTGGTCCATGCAGCCTCGCTTTCGATGAAGCCCGGCTTGCTCCACGCGAATCTGCCAGTCAGTCTGTGGATAACGACAGACGCAACTGAGATCAGACTAATCCCTCGATGATTGCCGTATTTCAAACGACAGCCTTCAATGAATACTGAGACAATGACGGAGCGGTTCTAGTCTGTTGGGACAGTTACCTGCTCTCACAGTTCCACTAGTAACTTTTGTAAATCATCGACAAAAGCAGGTCCACCAAATTTGTAGAGGGCTGAAGGAATTATCTGCCCCAGCGGATTTATTCAATTTCGACCGTCTGATCACAAGCTCAATTTCTGTGCGTGAGGACGGATCCACGGGGATGGGAGTATGCCGACCAATGGCTGGTGGAGAAGCCGACAACTCTGACTGATTGAGTTTCTTCTCAGTGTTCGACCCAATGCCCCAAGCATTGGGACAAGCTGTGGATCGGCTGGCCACTCTCATGGCGTATGGTCTCGCTAGCACCAGGTTTTCGGTTGCCCATTTCCCGTATCAGATGGACGGACTTACGATGGTTACCGACGGCAGCAGCTGTTTCCATTTCCGATGCACGATGAGACCACCAGGCTTCGCAGTCCCTCTTCAGGCTAGCACGCAGTTTTGTCCTGGGAATTTTGCGAGTCTCATTGTATTCGCTTCCTACCAGAAGAACCCGGCGAGCATCCATAAGTTCCAGAGAGGTTTTAGAGACCCTATGTCTAGTTTGGCAATTTGATTTGTCACATAAAGACATGCCAGCTGATAGCAACGGTCGGCGAGTATGCAACCAGTGACTTTCGACTGTGTGTAGTGGGCGCTTACTCAGCCCGGATGCCAGCGTACTTTGATACGCATACAGAACACCTGGCTTCACCAGTTGGCTGGTGTCAATACGCGCACAGCGACGTTGCGGACGTTTGCCGAAACGCACCCGATGGTCGGCTCACACAACAGCGTGATGGGAGTTCACGCTAGTGCTCCAAATCGAGCGACAGTTTTGGACGCAGCCTCTCCATCGATAACTGATCGCGATGCGATCGATTTGCGTCCATGGCTGGCCCGAGACTGGTGGGCGCCAAGTCACTATTCTGCGGGTGTTGTCGAAAGTTAGTTTGCGAGAAAGAGAGGAGCACCTTCACACAGGTGTAGCAACCGCTCACCGTTATGATTACGAGAGCCTACACCATGTTGGTCGCCCAGAATAAGCTCATCAGAGGACAGGTTGCAGACTTGGGCAAGCACTATTTCTATAACGAAGATCGTTAAGTTGGTGATAGAATCAGGGCTGCAGTTTGTGGGAATGTAAGCCGCAATGACAAACAGGCACCGTTTGTCCCCGCGAGAATTCGAAGCCTGGAACGAGCCAGCCAACCTAACGCGTACATTCGGTTGCTGACAGGGATCCAGTCGTTCAGAAGCTTCCGCCAGGGGACTTAAAACCATGCCGATGCCAGCTTGACCGGCATTTGAAGCTGCGTCATCGCCAGACAGGCGCAGTGAGAATGTGTTGCTAGTGGCGCAGGTATGGGATCGCAGAGTAAGCACGGAGCTCAAATCTTGCAGGCGGGCAACCGATGAGTAGCAAATATCGATCCAGAGCGTCTCGAGTTTTCGGGCAAGTGCTGCCTGTTTGCAAAGTGCGCACGTCGAGGCATGCCAGTCTTATCGAAGAGCAAGGACTCCAAAAGTAAACGGATCAACTGACGTTGTCTGCTTGGTTGAACATGAGCTTGTCGACTGGGTTGGAGAGACGCGCTGCGATTGTGAGTTGCAACTAGAAGACAAACGACCATTCAAGCAAGGTTGGGGTGTACTAATAATTGAGGGATTAAAAACGGGGGTTTAAAGTGAAGTTGGAACGTGACGCAAGGAATGAAAAAACACAAGAGGAATAAGAAGGCGGGAACGCCTGAGCAATAGTATCCAAACCCCTATCCACTCTGCTCGATGAAGCACATAGGTCACCGTTGATTATCCTCTGCAACTGCCAGAGCACCAAGGGATTGCTTAAAGAGAAAGTTATTGAGTCGTGTTGCGTGTGCAGAATACTGTCAGGTTGCACAGGCCTAGACAGGAGAACGATTAGGGTTCTTGACCAGAGACTTCGCCTCAAATAACTTGACCGCAAGACAGCGCATTTAGTAGTGGGCTACACAGAGTCCACGTTATGGAGTAAGGAGCCACGCTCACTTCAACCCCTAATCTGGAGAGCCAGGCGACTGAGTTTGTCTGGCCTCCAACCATTGACCAATCTGGTATGAGTGACTCTGAAGGTGCAAAAAGCACCACTCGGTATACCTCAATGGATCATTGAGGCACACAAACCAACGCACCGAGTTAAGATCTAGTCTCGTTACGATTGAGTCATGGTTGTACATGAGTTGAGATACTGTCAAGGCGCCCAAATCTAGGCAGAACAAGTAGGGTCCTGAACTAAAGCCTTTGGCTCAAAAGTCTGTCCGCAAGACAACGAGGTGGCAGTGATTTGATTTAACGGAAATGGATGCCATCCCATTTCCGAAATCCAACCTGGAGGAAAAGGGACTGAGTTTGTCTGACCTCCAACCATTGACCAACTTAGTAGGAGACCTAAAAGAGACCGGAGACACCATCTATTATCGATCAGTAACGAAGAGGCACACGAACCTTCGCGCTACGTTAAGGTCCAGTTTCTCTGTGATGGAGAGTAATCATGTGGTCCACACACCCATGACTTGGACAGAGATAAATATCTTCTTCCCAGAAACGTAGGGATTGAATCAGGTTTAGTCTGTGTAGTATGGATGTTAACAACTTGGAAGCGAGACAGACTAATCCCTCTGGGTCTGGCGCATATGGTACGAGCGCATTTCTCGAAGATCGGGACAATAATCGACCTCATAAGAGAGTACAGTTGTTTCTTCACACTACAGTTAGGAGAACAAAGTTGTTAACTAGTTGACAATGACATCGTCACTCCATTTGGACAGGCTGGGGATGGAGTTCACCTGAGCCAGAAATTTTGAATCGCTTTAACAGGAGGTTAAGGCATACCTCCGATTTATTGGGTACTCTCAGTGAAATGTTCCAAATGTAACTAGGCATGCTTATTATAGACAGACGGAGGTCAATTGGATTGAGAGTGTAAGTGCTCAGCCCAATGGTCTATATACTTAGGCCTCGCAGAGATTGAAGCCAAGGCTTCTGTGGCTAGTGATCAGCATCATTTGGAAGAACTAGCGAAAGTTTTCCATAACCTGCAAGCAATTACCATTGATTCGGATGAAAACAACTAAATCATCTGAGAGTCAGCCCCTAGCCTTAAGGATCACAAGCCTGCCTTGTAATCCGAGGGTGCGGATTCGAGCCTGCGTAGGGACCGAGCAACCCACGCAGCATCCTTAGCCTACGTGCGACTGGTGGTGGCTGCGAGGCAGCGAAATGTTGGTACTACGTACCGGTACATTGCTGATACCATTTTACTCAGGCATATCTCTTGCTAAAGAACAGAAGTTTGAAACAGTGAAATGTAGTCTATAACTGAAAATACTTAAAGTGATGTATCACATCGCCAATTCCGACTGAATGAATATGTAAGCGAATAAGATCCGTTGAGACAAATCAGTCCCACTCGAGTTTAAGTACATACAATGGTTGCAATTCGCCGATTAGTCATTCCCAGTGCCAAGAACTAATTTTGCATATTTGCGTAGGTAAAACGTGCCCAATTCTTAGTCCAGTGTGCGCAGGCAACTGCGAGTAGAGTGCGAAGTGCTTGGAATCCAGTTGGCATAATTTACGATGCCAAGGTGGCGAAAAGAACAACGTACAGGGGGAAAACAAAAAAGTGGACAAAACTGACTGGTGAAAGAGAAAAGTTAACTGCCGAATATAGAGATCAAGAGTAAACAAGTTGTTAGGTCTAACAACATCAAGTTTAAGAGTGATGCGAGGGTCATCATCATTATACACGTTAGCCAGAGGTGGGGAACACCTCAGCTACTGTGCCGCAATACATAGAAAAAAGGGGAAAGAAAGCAACTGGTGCAAGTCGGCTGAGCTACCGGTAACGGAAGGGCATCGTTCTGGTAAGCTACCAGCCGGCTACTGTGCATCAAAAAATTACTATGCAAAATTATCTAAGGCCAAATAATGAGATCGTGGTTGGAGGAGGAGAATAAGAGGGATGGGGTGCGAGGAATTCCAGTACTCTCAAACCGCTGTGTCTAGTCGCAAAGATACCGATTTGCCGGTGCGTAATGAGGATTATGAAAGAACCAAGCGTGAAATTGATGAAGACTCATTACACGTGACAAAAGGCATATCGACCGCTTGTGTATGTTAGGTGTTAAGATTTTGATAAATTCAAAGCGAAGAGCAACTCCAGTTCACTACGCTGTTCAAAAATTAAGTGAACTTAAGTCGATCTGCATAGCGCGCAGCTTAAATTTGTCTATCAACATGATACTTGGTCAATTGATGAAGCATGGATTGGATATGGGTCGATTGACAGTAGGGAGCTGGTGTTTACAATTTATCCAGAGCGAACTCTGAACAAGAATTAAACCAGTTGGAGAGTAAATAGGAGTGTCAAACGATAAGTGCACCTCAGGATATTTTCGAAAGATGAATAAGGCAGGCACTAGTAATACTAAAAACGGAAATTCACACACAAAGAGGCAACGACAAAAGATAAGATTAAGCGGTAGACTTACTGTTGCATGGTGTTGTTCCAATAAGATCTACGCCATCAACTGAATTGGTTAATGATTGGACCTGTGATCTGGGCAACTGGCATTTGTAGCACTGCTCTCGTCTCCGGAAGTTATGGCTGGAACACTATATCAGGTTCAATCAACATAGGAATTGAAAGGTGATGAGTGAAAAGAATACTGCGATGTGGTATCCAGTAACAAAGGATCAGACGTTATCCGTCACCCACCCTGGAGCAAATCCAATCTCCAGTAGACACCTCCGATAATGAGGCAGATCGTCCCATGAAGGTGGAGGAGCCAAAAATAGCCGGGGGAATCGGTTGATCGAGTATGTCCTGAAGGCGTGGTGCGCTGTATGTCAAGCGAAGTTCGTAGCGACGCACTCGAAGCAATCCCTGGAACGAAAGAGGCAAGAAAAAAACTAAATCTCTAAAGCAGAAAGACCCAAGAAAAACTCCAAGCCATATGACCGATAGGATGCAGGAAACAAGTAGGTTCATAAAGGGAAACCTGCGTGTTCGCGACAAGTTCAATGCGAGTCCCATTACTTTTTGGAAATCCATCCACCGCTTCGCCTCATGTATCGTGGCGAAATCCACAAATCCGAAGCCCTTCGTCATACCTGTAGATGAAGTTGACACAAGAGAGGTAAGACAAATTGGTGAGATGAGTGTCCCTATAACGGACACAAAGTCACAAATAGGAATGCGGTTGGTGGAAGAACATAATCGGGAAACCAGGAATCGCATCTCGGAAGATCGGAAAATGATAGGGCGCTCCTCGGATTTAGGGGAATGCGGTCAGATGGACAAAACACCGCCTTGTGGTAAGAGAGTGTCCGTCGATCTCCACAGAAATCCGTACTTTCGATGACCAGTCAACTTAGCTACTATAAGGAACAACCAGAAGTTAAAGGTAATATTAAGCAGTGTGGATATCCCAACAGCTTGTTTCTTCCATCCAGACATGGCAAAGCTGATGATGCGGATGACGGACTGATGTGATGATCCGTAGACATATATGTAGGATACTTCAAGCTCATAGGCCAAGATATTCGTTTCGAATAATAGCACTGCAAGCATGAAGGTAGTCCTTGACTCAGCAGTAACTAGGAGCCGAGAAACTGGCTGTGGACTAGGTGGGACAAAGTATAGTGTACCCTAATCGACAGCTTCGCTGTATGCACGCCGGCGTCTCAGAATTCCGAAAACTGCTCCAGAACAAAGATGGATGCATGAGGTCGTAGAGTCGATCCAAGCGGGATAGGAAGCATCGCACAATCTGCGAAAGGGACTGCATGCATATTTGAACAATGACTGGAAGATAGCACGTAACAAATTTCATCCAACTGTTGCCACTGCAGCTGGCGGTGTATGGGATCGAGGAGGGGGTTACGAAACAGCCAAAGGAAAAAGCTAAACTTGATAACGCAAAAAGAGCGGCTATATTTTGACGACCAGTTCTGTACGGAAGTAGTGTTAGCGCACTTTAATCAAAAGAACCAGTATGTAAGTAGTAGTAACACCCAGAATGACAGATGATGCACCTCTGAAATAGGAAATAAGAGAAATTCTGATCCAAGAGATTTATTTCCAAAACGTCAAAGTTGACACTGTGTGCATGTGCAGCGTGGTGGATGGATAGGCTTGGTAAGCGTGCCGTCACCGAAACCGAAATACTAGGTTTCGTAATGGCGAACAGAAAGCCCAGAGAGTCGGGATGTGAAAAAAGGAAGCAATAAACGAGTAGCGGAAGAGAAACATGATCGTACCCTTTGGAAAAGCAGGCTATGAGAGTGGCGCAGCAACAAGCAATAAACTGGCATGGAAAAGATTTCATCAGGGCTTCCCAGAGCAGGAACTGTCCGGTCGGTCCACGCATGGAGCCATGGTTTTAAAATTGAAGACTTCGAAACCTTGAAGAATGAGCTCGTTAGCATAACGTTCCGGTCGTCTTTCTTTTCGTTTCTTCAAGTAAGGAGACCATAACCATCAAAATATACAGAAGAGCTGACGCTTTGCCGTCGTACATTAGAATGATGGTACGGTGGGACAGGGAATCTAGTGAAAAGCCCGAACCACCTAAGCAGACATTCAGCGTCAATACGCCTACACCTATTATTAACATATGGTCACCAAATGCTGAATGGATCACAGTGATGTGGTATCGGTGAGGCAGTTGCCTTGCGGCTTTCACAGACCTGCGTCAAAATCAACTTTACCCCAGAGATAACTAAGCATCAAACGCGCGTCGTGCCAGCTGCGAGCCATGTCTCGTAACGTTTCCATTCAAGTACCAGGTGAGCTACGGGGACTACTTTTCGGAATAGCGACCACCACAGTTTGGTCGTCAATACCTTCATTTTACGCCGTTATGCCAATTTTATACACCTTGAGTCTTGCGCCGCTTGACATCTGGTAGAAAAAACCGAGTCACCCTGGATAGTTAGTGATTAGGCATACATAGAAAGAACCAACGACAGTTATTGTTTGCTTTAATAACCAACCTGGCAATCGCCGCTTAGTACTCGCCTAAACACATCAAAATTGCGGGTAAGCTGATGCGACCCAACGCTAGCAGTTACACCGGCAACCATGACGAGAGCGCAAGAAGTGATTTCACTTCTATAGGATATAACGGCCCTCTCTGTGGACAGACGGAAATCGAATGTCCGCACAGATGTCGCAGGTTCAAGGTGGTTTTAGCTATCGCTTGTGCCCACCGTCAACGATAGTTGTCATGTTTGTTAGAACGAGGAAATGCACTCAATTGCTAGTTAAGACAACAGAGCATCAAATGGCAGACGATTTTGTTACAAGTGGCAATTTGACGGTGTGAAGTGCATGCCAAATGATAAGACCACTGAGGATAATTTCTCTAAGGCTGATCATCGCAACAGGATTGATAAACAAGACAATATTGTCTGTAAACTTCGGACCAGCTAGTCCTTCATGAGGCAGCACGGTGAATCGTGAGACTCCACAAGTGAACGCTTCAAGGCAGGGTTCAAGACAAAGTTGAACAAAATGGAGAAATTGGGCAACTCATGCGAACGCCACTTTATGTCAGAAAAGCATCCGACCCTGAAACACAGGGCATTGAGATGAGAATGTGCGCAAAAATCTAGATATGGGACGCAATTGCCTAACGTTCAACTGCTGCTTCTGCTAATGGGGGACAACGACTTATTCGACAAATGAACGTCTGTTGATGAGTAAATGTATGACAAATGCTTGTGGATGGTCATGGCGTGTCTTGTGGGTGCAACGGCAAACGCAACCGGGAATGAAAAACAAGCATCGTTTTAGCTTTCTATGACTAGTAAACTAAAAGCATAAAGGCCCAATGTGCTTCAAAGTTTACACCGTACCAGTAGCCAAGCGGCGACAATTGCATGCGAGGAACAGCTTGCACGTTCCGTGAAAGGAAGGAAAACTCCATGTGTCATGAACAGTCATCTGAATAGAGCCATGAGAAGCGGACTAAGCAAGCACAAACCCATTTCAAAGGAGACCAGTGACATCACTCGACGTATGCCTTGGCTGGATACATGACGATGTCATGATGTCTGTGGTGCTGTTGTGCATACGCCCTTGCTCTCGAATGTCGACTGCGCTACCTGATAATACTGCCAATCTACCCATTCCATGGGGAGTCGATATTGATATCATTATTACTAGTTCGGCGAAGCCATTCAAAGCAATTAGATCTACTGCACTCCGATGCACCTATCACAGTTGACCTAGTGAACTGAGATGAACGGTTATAAGGCAAAGAAAAGCTGTCGCAAGCAGAACTAAGGTGCATGCTGTTACTGTCACGAGGACAGCAAGATAAGATCCGTATGAATCAAATGGCTGGGATGGAGCCACCAGGTAGTAGGGTGTTACAAAGTGGAGAATCAACAAAGACAACTAACGTCTACGCCGAGATTACAAGTCGGCCGGTCAAGACGTATGCGCAAAGAGCACGTCCTTCTCGCAAACACCATTCTTTCGCGCCCGTATCATCGCGACTAGTGTATTAATTTGACATCGTCGTAACAACCCTATGCTGCCGCGCGACCGCACCAGTCGTGCGCGGGTTGAGTATACCGCGAGAGCGCCCACTCTTACGCAGATTTGTATCAGGGACCTTATAGTAGTAAACCAGGTGCGCAGACCATTCGGCGGACGGCCGACATCGCAGGTAATATGAGTTGATTCGATTGGTATCATAAGGCGAATAATACCAAGCATTTGAAACTGTAAACGCACTGCTACCAACCCGTTAAGTGGAACACAAGAGAAAATCGAGTACATGATTTACTGAGTTGAAATGCAACGCTACAAAAGGAAAGGAACAAAAGACCGCAAATCAAAGATGCAGAAGCTGGTACATCGAGAAAGTGGACTAAGATGGCAGATCTGAGTAGTGGAATTACAGGAAAGCCACTACGGACAGTAAGAGCTAGAATAACGGACCGCTACAACGCAGGAGAGCGAGACACTTTCAGGAGGGATACGCCAACGTCAATCTACGACAAATTACAAGGGCTGCCGCTAACAAACCGTAAATCGAAGAAGTAACCCTACGTTACGATTTCTAAACTGTGAAATGTAAGCGAAATACTACCCTATATGGTGACTGTAACGCTAACACTCTCGGGGTCAAAAAGAAACTAGAAAAAAGTACAAAAGCGGAAGCTGGTTCACTCAGAACCAACTTGAAATGCAACGTCATATATGAACAAAAACCTACCAGTGTTTTTATCCTTGATGACCCTCACGTCGACGTAATTGACCCGGTTATCATCGAGAACTTCTCGTATCTAAGAAGCAAATGAAAATATTATAAAACTTGCATCTCGGTGCCCCATGGTGGAGGGTATGCCGCGGAGCATAATCGTGGGTGAAGGTTCCTCAAACTGGAAAGAAATGAGGTGCTGCGCAGGCGATTACCTTTTCGTCCTCTCTCCTTTCCTTAGGGTTACTGTAGGACATACGGACCAAGCATTTTCTCACCTCCAACTCACCCTGGGAAAATTAGACTTATATGTGGCAACATACCCTGCAATCCTTCATGAACTGTCGAGCATCAGAAAGGGTAATAAAGTCGATAAAGGCGTTTAGCCGCCCACTCTTCTTATCCCTCACAAGGCGAACATCTGTGTATTGAGCACGCTCGTTGTCCAAGGAACGTCGGATCTGCCATTTAAACAATAGCAGTAGAAACTTACATCACGCTCGACAGTGGTATTGGACAGCCCTCTGAGCATTATAGTGGAACTCGGTGACTCCTACGACAAGGTAAGCGAAGAAAAGAAAACCAACCACTGGACGATAGGGGGGACTGCGACTCCTAGAAAGAAAAATTAACTCAAGTGACAAGAATAATCATGCTTACCTTTCATCGTAGTAGTAGTTATAATCATCGTCACGCCGCCTATCATCATAGAAGGAATCATATCCACCCATCATCCTGAGAAAGCGCGCCAAAATTTTTGAATATCGGCAGAACTCAGGTACCCATTGATAGTGGCAAGTAACAAAACAAAAACCAGTCACCATTTTATAACGAAATTAAGTATTAAATATTCCGGTTGTGCGTCTTATATAAGTTATGTTTGTGTAGCGGTGTTGCGAGCAATGTGTTCAGCTCAGCTCAGTTCAGTTCCGATGGGACTGGAACGATAGGAGAAGCCCGTGAGTGTTCCATCTTGAGTGAATAGTTGAGCCAGAAAATGATGAAGTGCTCAGTTATCGATGGACCTAAAACGGAACACACTTATCGCACCCTGGCCAACCAGTTAATGCCCACGTTTCCTGCCGTAGCAGTCCTTTCTGTGGCAGTCACGTGAAGTAAGCAAAGGATAGGAAGAGAAATCGAAGGTACAGAATAAGGAAGTGCACTTAAATAAGCAAAAAATACCAAGGCCTGAAGAAAAGTAAAGAAAAGCAAATCGAAGTGCAAAGATGCGAGGTAATTGTTCATTTGTTCTCCGAGCTTGCGAGAAAACCGCCAAGCTCGGAGAACCAATGAACAATTGATTCATCAACACGAGCTAACAGTATTTCGAAACATTTTAAGATGCGAGTTACTCAGGAAAATGGAAAGGTTTCATGTTGCCACCCAAGAGCGTCAAGTTGCCGCTCAAACCCCCTAACCCTAGATTCCCTGATAACACTTTCCGGAAGCATGTTCCAGCGGTCGATAACTCGGCGTGACAGCCGGATTTCCGCCTTAATCCGATCGGACCTTGATTTATTCAGATTCAAGGAATGAACGCGTAGAACAGACAATCTAGCGGGACTGAATAGCCAAGATAAATCTGGACCAACCTTCCCAGTCAAGATACGGTAGGTTAGGATTAGGTCTCTTCTAAGCCTTCGGTAGTGCATTGAATGCATTCCCAAACTAAGCAGACGCTAGGGGTACGTCTGTCCCTGTAATCCCTTGACTAACCTTGTACCCACTCGTAAAACCCTCTCTAGCTCCATTTTGTCATTGACGAGGCAGGGTGGACAAGCCTGGACGCAATATTCCAGATGAGGCCGAACGAAAGCTGAGAACAGCCTCGTAAAGATGCCGCCCGTCAAGACTCCCAAAGAACGTCGGATTAACCACAAGATGCGGAAACCTCTGCTTGCCGCCTTCTTCCAGTTGTCGCCGGAGTGTAAAGCCGAAGAGTGTACGACGCCTAGGTCAATCTGGCTAGATACACGGGGCAGTTCGATCCCACCGACCACTTACTTCGTAGGAGGAGAACCTCCACCAATTCGAAGAACGGAGCACTTTGCTTGATTTATGGGCAGTAACCATAAAGTAAACCAGCCCCAAAGCTTATCCAATGCTCGTTGAATAGCTTCGGAACCCCCAGGAACATCGACAATGTTCCACAGCTTCAGGTCATCAGCAAATAGCGGCGATGGTACCTCAAGCTTTGCGGGTAGGTCACGCACCTAGATAGAGAACAGCAGCGGTCCTAGGACCGAGCTCTGCGGCAGGCCACTGAGGACAGACTGCCTAACATGCGAGCAACAGGAAGGACAGCAGTAGATTCAGCCGCGTTACGGAATATAACGCTACTACCCGTGAAAGTATCGCCACGACGGGGTGTATTAACCCCGCGGGTCTTTGATTCAATACTTGGAGTAGGTGGCTTCACTACTGGTGATGGGACTGTCTTTAGCCCCTCCTATGAGATAGCAATGACAGCATATGTTTTTGCTCCATCGTCGATGCCATCCTTTTGCTAGGTTTATTGATTTCACCGAAAGGCTTTATGGCAGATTTGGTCTGCTTTTTCTTCTTGATAACGGGAGCAGGGTCCCGTGAGGATTTTTCGCTTTGAGCAAAAGAAGGCAAACTTTCAGAACATGCCTTCTCGGTGGGAACCGAGATTGCCGGCAACTTCGGCTGACAAGTAGTGCGTTTTGGAATCTTCGCCTTCGCACAACCGTCAGACGGTTTGCCAAGTAAAGACACTTGGCATTTTTCCTGTGCCGAGATAACTATAACTTCTTGTTTAGCAGAGAGCTTACGGGGTTTCCTGGCTCTCTTCCGCTTTACTCGAGGGGACCCTTGAACTAACCTTTTGGCGTCAATCAGCGTAGCTTTAGATACGACGTCCGAAGCTGCTTCATTCTTGTGGTCGGTAGCCATCTGGACCGGTGACATACTGATTGGTGCCACAATTTGATCATCAGTGTAGGCGACCAAATCTGCGTTGTTGGAGACCGGAAGCGTCTTCATAAGCAGAGCAGGCTTAAAGCGAAGGTATGAGAGCATCGAGAACGAAAGCTCTGCATTTCTCAGCCGGGTATCAAGAGATTCGTCTCTCGTAATATAGGCCGCGCTGCCTTGCCGGCGGCTGCAGCAATTGGCACAACTAAAAAGCAACTTCTCGCTGGAGGCCAGCGCGGCGTACTGCTCGGTATTCAGGTCCGTACAAAGCTGATGGTACCATCGGTTACAGACATCGCACTGCATACCGCAAATTGCTATGGGCTAAGTTCAGGTACAAATTCAAGAGGGATAAGGTTATCCCGTGCGTATTCCTTTTCAGGCGGTCGTTAAACCAGGAGTCCGTGGATTTTGAAATATTGACAGACTTAAAACAAAGGCCGTATCGAATTTTGTCCAACCGAGCAATGCCCACGTAGCCTGCTAGAGCAGTCACTGCGGAGCCCGTTACTTGAAGTAATTAAGAGAAAATATAAACTCAGAAGGCACGTAGAAAAGTGGATAAAGCTAAGCAAGCAGAATACCAAGATTTTTGATACATAAAATAAAGAACTGAAAAATGAAGCTGAGTCAGTTAAAAAAAGGAAAGGTTTGGTGTTACCAACCAAAACCATCGAACTGGCGCAAAACCCATAACCGTAAGTTCTCAAACCACATGATTTAGAAGGGAGTTCCAGCGATCTATAATTGTCCGCGACAGATGCGTTTCCTTCCTAATCCTACCAGACCGTGAATTATGCAGTCTCATAGAGTGACCGCAGAGATTATTTAATGTAGCAGGGCTAAATAGCCCTGATTATCCCGGGCCGATCTTAACCGTCAAAATACAATAAGTGAGAACCAGGGCCCCGCTTATCCTTCTGTGCACTGAGTACATCCCCAAACTGAGCAAGCGTTCAGTATATGAGTGACCCTGCAGACCATGCACTATCCGGGTGCCAACTCGTAACACCCTCTCCAAGTGCATTTTATCTCGGATAAGACATGGTGGACAAGCCTGGACACAATATTCCAAGTGGGGTAGGAGAAATGCTGAGAATACCATAACTAAATAAATTGGCCGATAGGGTTCCAAAAGAGCAGCAGATAAACCTTATCTTACATAACCTCCGGCAAGCAGACTTCTTCCAATTGTCGCCGGAATGAAGTGCTGTTGAGTGTACGACTCCTAAAGCAAACAGCTGAGTGAAATGAGGGATTTCACTACCGCCAATCAACATTTCGGTTGGAAGGATTAGCAACGCCGGTTTTGAGAACAGAGCACTTGATCCTAGTTATGGGCATGAAACACAAGATGGACCATTCTCAGCGCCTATCAAACGTGCCCAGAATTGCCTCAGAACCCCCGGGATATCCACTGTAGTCCAGAGCTTAAGATCGTCAACCAACATTAGTGACCACACCCCTGGCTGCCCTGGCAAACCCTTTACACAGGTCGCGGACAACAACGGTCAAAATACGAAGCCTGCGGGACGCTACTAAGGACAGCTTGCCTGAGCGGAAAGCTACCCCCCACCCGTACACACTGTTCCCTCCTCTCAAGGAAAGCAGACACCCATTGAAATGCGTGACAAGATATACCGTAAAATCTCCACTCTCGTGAGAGTCGAAAATGAGGAACAGTGTCAAAGTTCACGAGTATCATGTCTACAGTGTGGCTACTGTCTACCGCTTCGGCGCAACTTCCACAAACCATAAGCAAATTAGTCGACCCCGAAAATCGCTTGCAGTATCCATGTTGTGCAACACTGTGAAGGTTAAATCTATTCAGGTGATTTTGCGCTAAATCCCTTATCAGCTTTTCAAGCAAGTTTGCTAACTTGTCATAATGACAGGCCGGTATTTCACGGGCGGAGCGCTGTCACCGCCTCCAAAAATTGGTCAGATTATTGCCTCCTTCCATTCCGACTGTAGGACGCATCTGTCCAGCGATGTTGAAAACACGCATGGGTGAGAACCACACAGCTCAGTGGCCAATTCATACAACTGCTTCTGTGAGTACTACGCGGTAACTCGTTTTTTTGGCGTGCCATACTGATCGAGCTTTTCAGCTGAAATAACGTGGAAAACAGTGTTTGAATAAACACTTGAAACGAAATTTGACTATTGTCAAATTTTCTCTGATCCAAGAAATCTTGGACCGATTAAATTGGTACTGGCCCAAGCGTCTTTGACGCTTACTGGTAATTTTTCCGGTAGTTCTCAGTTTTAATCCCGTTTTACACCCGGTTTTTGCCTTTTTATTGCGGTCGTTTTCCTATTGTATACGAGTTGTTATTCTAATCTGTTTTCCACATGAACATGGCTGTCTCGCTAAACACCGAGACCGATGGACCTATGGGGTCCTCGTTTGATGAGTCTACTGCAGCTTGCGGACAGGTTAACTGTTCAGAGCCAGGAACAGATGCATCTGGTGGTATGCAGTGCGACGTCTGCTGCCGCTGGTATCACGAAAGCTGTACCGGCCTACAAGCTGACCAGTACCAAATGCTATCATCAAGCGTCCACTTTCTTTTCAGCTGCGCTGAATGCTGCGCTAAAAGATCGACGCGCCCGGCTGTCACCGGTGCTAAACTTTCAGCGTTGGCTTCAAGGTTGGCAGATGTTGAGTTGGCGCTAGCTAAACTCGCCTCTGTTGCGTCGCTCGATACGAAAATGGATTTAATTTTAAAATCCCTAAATATTTCGTTTGAAGACACAGCAATAGCCGGCAACATTGCTGACGATCCATCCACTGGAGTCTGTCACTCGATCATAAAGTCGCACATCCTACCGGCCAATCCAGGT